AAATACCGACACTTGAGTAAAAATAATTTTTTTGCATTCATGAACTAAAAATAAATACTTAACAAGTAATAAAAGTTTGATTGCATTTTCTCCTAAATCTAAGAAACTCCCCCAGGATAGAATTTGCCCCTGTTTTAGCCGGTAAAACCAGCATTTTATATAGTCTAGCATTCACTATGTAGATCAACTGCGAGGAAGAAACCGTTTCAAAAGGAGCATGTTCCGCTAAAGCATCATTCCTATATGCTTTAGTTCTTCAACTGAGGGTTTTGATTCAGATGGTGCAATTTGAGACATTGCCCTCATTTCTTATTGATCTTTTTACCCCCATGTGGTTTCTTTTTGAGGTAAAGCAGAACTCTTTTTTTATAGCCCGCCGTGATTTTCGATGTCGTTTTGTTTGACATAGCCATGATTCTACAGTTCAATTAGCTGAAACTACCAGTAGACATGCTCCAACAGTCCTGATTTGTTTCAAATCATTAAGGTCAAGTACTATAACAAATGAAACAAAACAAACAAAAACAAAAAACAAAAAAAAAAAAAAAAAAAAAAAAAAAAAACAGGATCCCTGTTTATACGTTTTTTATTTTGGTAACATGCTGAGATGATGTGAGATGATGATTTCAGCCCTATCTTATCCATAACTATATGTTTGCGTATTTGAGGTGTCACATGTTCAATTTACATACATTTTTTATACATAACTCTTCTTCGCTGGCTGTTTCCATTATTTTGGGTACCGCATCTAAGCCATTCTTGTGTACAATGTATGTATATACTTGTGTATAATACATTAGTATTTGAGAAATACTATGAAAATATTTTAAGAAAGTTGATCCTAATTTCTAAAGTTATTAAGATTTTGGAAGTCAGAAATGATTGGAAATAAAGTGTGCCTCCACTTAGTATCCCCCGCATGAATCTCCGAACAATCAGCTCAATGTTCTAACTGCTGCATTTATGACAACACATGGAGAAAATGCTTTGAAACTTTATGCGCTTCTTGTAATTATTTGGCATGGCAAATATTATAGTAAATGCTAAAAGTATAGAATCTATTTTGGGAAATTTATTTATGTTAACATTATGCACATACAATCCTAAAAACACTAATACAGGTGTCCTGTTTTTCTGTTCCTCAAATTTCGAGAATTTCTTTAATATTTAGAAACGTTTAGTGGAACATGATTCAGTAAAATACACATGTAGCATGAAAGTCGATAAAAGAGTTAGCTTTTAGTTTTATTTGAGAAGATATGAAACATTGTATTTAGATCTTCCCTAAAATTTTCATGAGATTTATCTATTTTACATGATGGATATTTAAATTTGTGTGCCACATATTCGAAGGATAACTGAAATATAATTAAATATAACTTAATAAAATAAACATTAAAATTTCCCTTTTCATATTTATTTTAAAAACTATTGTGTGAAAAATAAGTGGCATATGTTTTTACTTGCACAAAGCCATTTTAATGAATATTATTGCGAAAATTTAAATCAAAGCAAACGTAAATTACAGCTGGTACGTTTGGAAAATTTGTATCATCGCAGGATTTCTTTTGAGAACTGAAGATTGAAAAAAAAAAAAAAAAAAAAAAAAAACGGATTTTCTGATTATTATGGAGCTGCATCATGGGGCCAAAATTAAAGAGCTATTATAAACCTGAGTCGTAAATCGAATAATATTACAATAAAGCAAGCATGAAACCAAAATAAATTCTAGAAAACTTTTATAGCGCTTCATTAAAAACTTTTGTGTATATTTCTATGTTCTAAACTTCTTAGTGAATTATTATTTTAAGATTTTGACTGAATATTATTCAAATTGCAGAACAAATATAAAATACTTTCATTGTACGATTTCATTGTCCTTCAACAGATCATTTTCAATTGGGAGAGAAGAGATGAATGAAATATGATTAGTTTGTTTATTCTTTTAGAATCTAATAGCGCAGTTTCTTTTTCTAAGCCCATACTTGAAATATGATTTATAACGATATATACGTGAAATATGATTTATAAAAGTGGAAAATATTAATGTCTCAGAAACAACGATATTTTGATTCATTACACTAAAATAAATTCTGCATTCAAGAGATGTCGGAGTTTATTAATCGTTCCCATTACGTTGTTTCTATTTATTAAACGCTAAATGGACTGTATGGAAAACATCGAAAATATTAATCATTGTTTAGTGTTGATTTTACATCAAATGAAAACGTTTTTCCAGCCGAAAGACAGATTGTGAAAATGAAATGCTAATTTTATCTGGTCATCTGACCACGTATTTTAAATAAAAGAACATGATTTTTCCAGTTATTATAAAGCATAGACAAAGAATGGTATAAAATACTTAAAATGCAGAAACGAAATTTAAATGGTCCCAGTCGCTCGAATTATGTGGCAATATTTCAAGAAAAGAGATTTTGTTTTCGTATTTAATCAAGCAATGAAGCTATTTCATTTTAGGATGCAGGATGTTTTACAATTTTGAAATTACAGTGCTTTATAGATTTGAATCTTGTGTTCGGTTGGAAAACTTTAATATTTCCTAATGAGTTGCTTGCTCTGCAAATATTACTTTACATAGCTTAATACGAAACGATGAACTATATATTCGCTATTTTCATACCATGCATTCATTTTAATAATTGAAGTTTTTATTTTCACACATATCCAAATACTTGGGTAGACACTTGTTCAATCATAATTAAATATGATAAATTTCTATGTACATTAACAAGAAATAACGTAGTTATATAAGCTAAGGTAAAGCGGCGCGATGTTGACAGAGCAGCAGTGAGGAAAGGGAGAAGAATGAATATTTAAGCTAAATCTGAGGTATAAGTAGAGCTAGTCAGTGATTGGGTAATATTAATTTTAGTTGCCTTTTTCCAGTAACATTACATAACATAGAAAGCTCTCGAATTCGGGAAAACAGATGAATTAGGGGGAGATCATCAAATCTAGAATGTTAATTTTGAGATCGCCAATTATTTTTAAAGCAGCTATCGTATTTTGTTATATCTTACATGAATGTATATATTATATGCATATGAGCATGTATACATGGGAAAATGCACGTACGTATGCATACATACATATATTCCTGAATCCGGTTCCGACAGCAGAAAAGTACCCAAAACTTTTCATATAAGATGAGCTGTGAGACTAAGTTTCTTTTAAATACTACGTTTTAGAAAAGAAAGACGAAAATAAAATTTTTATATCTCTCTTACAAAAATTTACGAATGAGATGTTTTTTGAAACTGCATAAAAGTATTACAGTAAAAAGTTAGGTGTACATGTATCAGAATGAAAACTGCAAAAACATACCTTTGACATTAAAAAAGCTTAAATATATTTGCAATAGCTTCCAATTTCAATTGACATCAATTTAAATTCAAAAGTAAATTCCTAAAGTAGAATTCAATGTTTTCAAGATCGCACAGGATGGTATACAGCATAACAGACGCTAACTGTTAGCGCGAACAAGAGTTGTGGGTTCGACTCCCGCGTAAGGTTTGGGTCTATGTGTGTATCGTCTTTTCTTGTCATCACTTGTGATGCATCTTGAGTAATCGCGATGAGTGGTGATGAGAAAATTAAATGATTATTCCAAGTGAAGCAACCTCCAAACCTTTGTGTTCTAAATGAAAAAAAAATGATAAACAACAGACATTTTTCTGCATTAAATAATATCTGTTGCATGTGAATGAAAGCAGCTTACGCCGTGTAATCTTGAAAAAATTTTCACAAACAATTTTACACATCACAGAGCTTTTAAAATATATCCAAAGTATCAAACATTTCATAATACTTAAAACATTCTTTGAATTAGATTGGCGTTTTGAAGATTAAAATTTTGTCTATTTTTACTAAAATATGTCAGGTGACCAAAACGTTTGTTGTATAAAAGCTTGAATTATTTTATTCAGTTTCTAAATTAGGAACATCAGTCTATGACCAAAAGTAGAAAACTGAGTAGAAGTTCTGAATTATCCTTCATAGTTTCTGAACTCAATGCTTCGAAAGTAATAATCTGAACCGAAGTATTCTCCGGATTTCAAAACATCATACATAAAAGCAAATCTGAAATTTTTTCAGAACAGAGTGAATTCATGATTCGTAGTATTGTACAGGAAATACATAAAATTTAATATTGTATAAGAAATACATAAAATTAAGAACTAATTGTATCTTTCATTGGCTAATGATCTAAAAGTATTTCTTTTTTATAAGTACGCTTTTTTGATACCTTGGTTGGTTTGGTACTTGAAATACTACGAATTATAAATGTTGGAATCGATGGAAACGAGGCAACCAATGAATTGGCTAAAAAGGCAAAAAATCTCAACAACTCAATCCCCGTCATTCTTGAAGCTGCTAATGCCATTGCTAGATATAAACGCAAAAAGAAAATTACAAAGACCATTACTAGATTAAGAACCTGCCATTTTAGAGGAATGGAAATTAATGAAGATGGTACCAGATATTACAGAACTTGTAGAAATTACCTCGAAACGGAGTTTCTCCAGAACACATCTTCACCTGTCCGGCAATAATTTTGCAGCACTGCAAAGCTTGGGGGATTATTTTCTCGGGGAGAGCTGTATAGTGAAAAGACTGTGGAACCGGCAAAGGCTGTGATTTCCATGCAATGGATCCATTTGACTTCTCAAAGTATGCGACACCAATCAATCAGCCAACTCTTTTTTTAATAAGAAACCGAAATTTTTTCGTCTATTCTTTATCAGCCCACATAGTTTTTCTTGTTTATTGGTAGGATTTATTAACTTAAATTTCCTTATTTCAGTGAGGAAGGCGTTACATTGTTACATTTAAATTATCATTTTCTTAAATAATGGAAAAACCTATATTTTATCAGTAAGGTCTGACTTCAGATGTATTTTGTAGATAACTTTTTATCACAGAATTAGTCATACATAACTTTTAAAATAAAATATCAGAAATTAAAAAGAGAAACTTACAGAGAACTTGTATATCCAAAGACTTCAATAGAGGAGCTTCTTTGCCTTGTAGCACATAATTGGATCCTTTGCAATAAAACGTGCCTAGATGGTCATACCGGGAAACTGGAACTTGCACAGTACTGATGGTAGTCAAGGTGCCATCAGGTGCCTGATCTATGTGGGTCTGGGGCATCACATTAATAACATCTGACTTGTTGTACCATGTAGCGTTGGCTGCAGGTTTGGCCCCTTGGATTGTGCAAGTGAGAGACACGAGTTCGCCAGCTATCACGGGTGAAGTTGGTCCTTCCACTTCTAAGGATAAAGGCGGAACTGCAAAAAAGGAAAAATCTCAGTATCCATTATTGTATGATAAGGTACACTGAAAATTAACCAAAATCAATTTTTTAAAACCGATCAAATTAATTTCAGCAGCATTTCTATCGTCTGATGAGTAATGTCCTGTAGAAATGAAATCTTTAAAAAAATGACTGGGTTATTCTTTAACTTATGCAGTTGCTTCATTAACCTTTTCCCGTGAGTTAAAAAGATTAATTGGCTCATTTGATGCAGCCATTTATTCAAATATTCGCTTATTGAAGAAAACAAAAATGAAGGTAAAAGAGTCTGCCATACTACTTCATATTAAGCAGTGAAGCTTTTCTTCATACTTACGCCATATACAGTTCAACAGCAAAATCACAAACATTTTAAAAGCAGCATAATAGCATATATTCAGAACTCCCAATGCGTGTTAAGTGTTGTCATACAATTTTTGGCTTGCAAAACATTTTTTTCGTCTTTTTACTATTAACATTTTGTGTGTTAAATTTATCTATTAAATATCACGTTCTTACGACACATAACATTCAATTCAATAGCAAAATTACAAAATATTTAAAAACTTCTTTAAAATCGAACAGAATTTAAAAATATCTGTAGATCTTTCGATAGATACTTTTGTGCCTTAGAGATAAAAATGTTTTAATACGTATGATACTACCTCTTCTCGCTTTCAAATCATTGGGTTTGTTTATCATTAAATAATAAAATTATAATTATAATAAGATAGCATTAAAGTTTAATAATAATAAAATAATAAAATTAGCATGAAAGTTTTACAAAGCATGAATAAATAAGAAGAAATATATAACTTAATTCTATGAAAATACTGAAAGTTTTTTATTAGGCAAATCACGAATATCAATCGTTTAAATCAGTCTATATTAATTATAGATTGCTACCATTTAAATCAATCCAATTCAAAAGTAAAAAGGAGTATTCTTAAGAACTACATCTATTGCCGTCAAGTAGCTTACTTTTGCTAATCCACAACCAGACAGATCCAAATTGAAAGATAAATATCTGACATTTTGCTAAATGACAACAGACTCGAATGAAAAGTGAAACGACACAAAATCACATTTCGAGACTAGTAACTGTTTTGGTATTAGAATTATTAATAATCATACATAGGCCTTAAGTATAAAGCAGTTCACTCCATTTAAAATCAAAAACGCAAATAAAATATCCTAGATTAAAAAGATGTCGAAAGACTAGACAAACTGGAACCTAGACATTCTCGTGAAAATATTTAAGGCTGGAAAACGAAAGTATTTGCAAAATATCAAAAACATTATTTTAGAAAACATGAAGATGGCAGGAAAAGAAACAGAATTATTGAGTAATGTATCACAGTATATACAGTATAAGCACACTATTTAGTTATTAAAAAAAAAAAAAAAAAAAAAAAAAAAAAAAAAAAAAAAAAAAAGCCCAAAAGATCATTTTATTCCCTTTATTCGATTTTCGCTTTATTGCGGTGGACTGAAACCAAATCCAGTTTATGTATTTTCAGGAAATCCTGTATTGCTGAAAACGCTCAAATGCTGCATAGCTTTTAGATATTACAGATTATAAATATGCATTTAAGATTCAAATTTGAAAAGCTTATGCTTTACGAAAGACGCTTATTATTAATCTTCTATGCTATAAAACGTTATACTTCAAAGTTCCTTTTAAATTCTTTTATAGGATTTTGTTATAAACGTAAGCAGTTGCTCACTAAATTTTAAAGCATCTGAAGATTTATTTATTTATTGGAAATCTAAAACAGTATTTTCAAGCAACAGCTCGTATTTCGCAAATAAAAAAGAAATGTTTAAAGGAAAATCATGTCAGTATGTACGACTTCCATCTCATTCTGCCCACGGCTAGATAAGGGTTCGTAGCGAAATACATCATGTACCTTTACTTACCAGTAAACATTACGTGATTGGGACGAGGATTCCCTCGTCACGTGCAATGGACACACTCTGCCACGTAGCTTCGTTCCTCATCATGAGAACTGAACCGAAGAGAATTGGGGACGGCGAAAAATGTCCGAACATCGTGAGACTACTATCGAGTACAGATGGTTCAGGGAATTTTTTTCTAAATCGTTTTTTATTCTTTGGAGTTTTATAAGTTGCCGCACTTACGTGACAATCCGCTAAAACCAAGCTCTCGGAATGAAGATTAGTATTTTCATTTGAAGAATAATGGTGTAATCTTGAAAGTTTTCGTTAAACTCATAAAATCGTACTTAGTTTAAATAGTCTAGGTACAGAAAGCTGGACATCAATAACCATTTCAGTTAAGTTTCACTTCTTTTTTCAAACTTTTAACGGGTTTTCATGATAGAAAACAGTGTTGTTTTCATCTGACTTGTAAACGCAAATGTTAAATCCATGAAATAATGCACAATTATGAGTGAGATAAAAAGGCATTGCGTGTGCTGCGTCCATATGTCAGAAATTGTTTAAATGAAAAAATTATAATTTGATTGATAAGGAGTTGAAGGCATTCATGACATATGTTCATAGGTTTAGTTAAACAACATTTATAAGCAGTAAAGGAAAGTCTCAGATACGATTATCTGAACGTTTGCTCATATAAAATATCTGAAGATTACTGATATTTATTACAATAGCATAAAGGCCACTTTAACGCTGCTTTTCTGTGTATCCTTACCTACTAAAACTCATGTTTAATGGTAAAGCAAAAAATAAATTCAAAAGCACATAAATGATAAGAAAATTAGAAATGATTTAGATTCATTCATAATTTTAATTGCAAACTTCATAACTTAGTTTGGAAGTGCAAATTAATTTCTATTGCTATAACAATGATTTTAGTTTGGTAATGAAATGCATTGATTTAAATATGCTTTTTGATAGTTCTTAACTTTAATTCGCATTGAAATCAAGTCTTTGCATTGTCAGTGCTATAGTAATAAAAATTAAATTAAAAAAACTCTATTGCCAAAATAAGTCATTATAATTTTTGGCATTTCTCAACTCTAATTTCTAACTGTATTTATTAGAAAGTAGCAAAAAAATCTTAAGTTATTTCCTGAAATCTTCTTTTAGTTCTTAAAAGTAGCTTTGCAACTTTCTTTATTTTTGTAAAACAAATCGCGTTTTGTTATATTTTGCTAAACTGCTGAATTGCCAATAGTTATAACATATTATCATTTGTCTTACAGCTAAATGAATTTAAAACTTTTGCAGACAATCTGACTAAAGTAACATGCTAGGCAAAACCGATGAATATGTGCTTTTTGGATAAGACTTCGTACTTTTATCATTTTACTTTTAAATAATGGAGATAAATTATTTAAAGATAATATAATATAGCAGCTTCTATCAGCGATTTGCTTTTGAAACCAGAGATCTTTAAAATATAGTCTGTGCTCATTACAGCATTTGATCATTATAGCGATCTTCCCAACAGAATTACTGTTTCTAAAAGTAATATGATAATGTTTTTGGCTTTTTTAAGACTTCATAATTTTATTATTTTACTGTTTGTAGTTCAGATAATGTATTTAAAGGAAATATAACTGCTTCTTTGGGGATTTGAACCAGATACGTATAAATTATAGTCTATGCTCCTTACAACAGCTGCTAATTATAAAGACCTTTTCATTTCAACTACCTTTCCATTACAAAATCTGAAGAAATTATGTTAAATTCAGTTTAATTTTAATTATCATTTGCTTTCAAGCCACTTTTTTTAGGATTAAAGTATCGTTAAAATTAGCGTTGATTGTTTTTCAAAAGTCCTTAGCATGTTTAACTTTTCCTCCTCTAAATGCAATGCTAAATGAACGTTATTAAAAATAATATTATTTATGTTTATTAAATGTGAATTTAATTATTTTTACAGGGTTTCTTATTTATATGAAAGCAGTATCTTTTTATATATGGCTAAAAGCATTATCTTCCATCGAAAGCTTTAATATTTCCCATTTTTAAATATTAGTATTTACAGACGATTATCTGGTATTAATACGACGAGTTGTTGCCAAATAATTCTTTCGCAATATTCGGTTTTTGTTTTATTTTTTCTCTTCAATTATCCTTCTAAAAACAATAAAATTTATATATTCGTAAGTATTCATATATTAAAAGCAAGTTTATCGTAAAATTCGCATATTACAAAATACGGATTTTTGATAATTAATAATAGCGAAGCAAAACTTGAAAGTTTCACTATCTTATTCTCTCAGAAATAAGGTTCGCTGGAATATATCATTTAACAGTCATGATGCAAAACGAAATTTTTGATGAAGATCTTGCACATTTCTTCCACTATAAATAAGGAATTAAAATTAAAACTTTTCTCAAAATTAATTAAAGATGCAAAGTATTCAGTCATAGAGAGTTAGGTCGGATTCATTATGAAAATTATCTTTAGAGCTTTCCACTTAGAAAGGAAAAGGTTCTTAGAAAACGTTTTGGAGAAGAGTCTAGCGTGTTAACACCATAATGTATAAAAAATATGAAGATAGATGCATAAAAAAATTTCGTCACTAGGAAACGAACCCAGTGTAAAAGCACATCTGCTGAAAGCTTTAGTTATTTTTCCTATAAATGGGTCTTATGTTTTAAATAGGATAAAGAAGATTAAGCAGAAATTCTGGTGAGTATCTTGTAATTTCAAAGAGTTTTAAGTGAAATGAATGCTACAATAAAACATTTCACTGTTGGGAAAAAAGTAATTTCCTAGCCATTGATTCGTAACTCTTTCTCTTAAATATACCAGAAGATATGCATGGGCTTCGAGAAAGGATATTTTAAGCCTCATTTTCTTTACTTTAGTTTAGTTTTAGTTATATACACCGGCCAATGAATTAGAAACCTAAGATCAATATTTTATTGAACCACCTTTTGCACGGATAAGTAACTGCTCTGATTCGTTTGGGCATCGAGTCTACATGCTTCTGGAGTGCATTTATACGTCCAGAGAATACCATGCATTGGCTATGCAATTTTTTAGATCTTGTTAAT